TATTCACGATCGAAAATTTTACTTATAGGGGGTGCTTATTCACGATGGGTGCTTATTCACGGTAGTATACGGTAATCAAAAAACTGAAAGTTCGTTAACAAAATCACAACTTTTAAATTCTTTGATACTTCTTTTAAGTGATTTATAACGATCACGTTTTCGAGATTTATCAAGTAAATCCCGCGATGATATATTATCCGAAAGCATTATTAATACAATAGTTGAAGGTTTAATACGTTTCTTGTTATTGAATCTAGAAATTTCTAGAATTTTTTTTGCTGTCATAAATAGAATGATCTGCATGGACAAATCCGGAAATCTCTCACTGTATTGTAGCACCATGCTGTTCATAATCGAATATGCCGGGACATTTTGCAAAAAAGTAAAAGTTTGCGTTCTTCGAATACAACGTCTGTAGAGTGCAAAGAAAGTATTTGGTAGCTAACTTGCGAATTACCTCACCGTTTTCCAAATTACTTTCACAGTTCGAAACGATCTTGTTCTTGGCCAATTGTTTTCCGTGGCCACCAAATCGTTTATAAAGTCAGATGGGTATTTATATTTTAATTTAATAATATTTTGATAGACAAATACTATGTTGTGTTACATTTTCTTCGATCATCCAATCACGCTTTGCCGATAATGTTTGTTTACCCGTGTAATATTATCTACATAACCTGACAAGTCGTACAGGCTCAAATATTATTCCTTTCAGTGGACGCTACTCCGCAAATTAGCGGGACACATAAATAAGAATATTCGGGTCGGGTTGTGCGACCTGGCTAATTATCTAACGTATATAATGAACGACTAAGGCATAATTATCAAGTATCCAGAACGAAATTTTCAAAAAGTGTCAAGTTCGATCACCAGCATTAGTATGGAACATACGATCTCGAAATTAAGGTCAAGTTTGCTTGGTAACGTCCATAGCGGAGAAAGTCGTCCCGTGGCAATAGAAAAGATTTTGAAAAATATGCCAAGAGAAGTGGTCATTCTCCGAAAAATTTCTCCGCACCCTAATATTGTAGCTCTTCTTTACTGGGCAAAAATCAGACCAGAAGAGTGGATGGTTGTGTTCGAATATCATGAATTAAATTTAAAAGATTATTTGAACGTTATCGCAAGAAGCAGAGAAACTAACGGATTAACAGAAGATGAATCAAAAAGAATAATGCGCCAGTTGTTGCTTGCATGCAAGCACTTAGAGGACTATTGTATCTACCATCGCGATTTAAAACTAGAAAATATAGTCTTCGGCACTGATGGCAATATTAAATTAATCGACTTTGGTTTGGCCATTGAGGTGGAGGAAAATGATCAATATATTGAGAAAATTGGGTCGAGTAAGTAAGGGTTGAATTATTAATGTAAAAATTCACGTTTATTTATACTCGTTGTTTTATACATTTGCTAATATAGCCTTTTCCTAACTCAGTTATTCCACCTGAAATGTACGGTCACGTTACTTATAAACAATCGACTGCACAAGTGTGGATATTAGGAAGTATTTTCTATCAACTCTTCGAAAGAATTGAGCCGTTTCAGCGAGAACGAGTAATTTGCAAAGCCTTAGGACCGGTCATGTTTAGCAAATATAATCGTCCTTCTGAAGAATGTGTGGAGTTGATGGAATGGATGTTGAATGTTGACCCCAACAGAAGGCCTCAGTGCATTGATGAAGTTCTTGATCACGAGTGGATTAGACATGATTGAGTACCGTTTCTGTGTTTGCTCAAACATGAAAGATGCCAAATTGAATATGCTATAATGTCTTTCCAATATGATAAGAGTATGTGTTTACAAGTTTATAGAGATTACCATTTATTTATGACATAGTAATACTTAAGGTTAAAATTCATCTAGTATGCTTATGAAACTTTCATTGATATGCATTGCCTGTAGTGTAACCGTTAATAGGTTTTGTTCATATTACGAAAATTCCCATGTGGCAGCTTCTTGTTCTATTTCTGACAATCGACCTCGTGCATGTTGGCTTCGAAGCCGTTCAAAATCAAATAATTAGAAACTGCTTTACTTATTACTAGATGGACAAAAAGGGAAGTAAAAGGGAAGGATTAGATGGCCATTTTTACAAATTTTGTCAGTTGGGGCGGATGAAAGTTCTGATCATGGATTTTTATTTTGACAAGTGCTGGTCTTATCTAAAAATAAAGACAACGATTCGAAGCTTGAGGTTCTGGGGAACAAGTGAAAAAAAGTTGGTGCGAGTTGACATGTTAGTTGTTGGGTAGCGTCCATTTTTTCATAGTGCACTAAACCGATTGGGAAAAAAACGATTAAACAATTCTTGTTTGTTTCTTTTATTTGTCTAATCACCGTTAGCACCGTTAGAGATTTGCATTCGGAATGCGGTTGCATCAGATAACTGGTGATACACAAGTTAATGTGGAGGTTTGTCATATTAATATGGCATGTTCAGAGAAATTTTCAATGTCGTTCCAATTCTTTTAGAGCAATGTACATAACTCGACAATTACTTTTTTTTTTCAGTTGTCCATTGGAACCTCAGGCTTGTAATTATAGTCTTCTTTGTGAGATAAATGTCCACGATCAGAACTTTTCAGCCACCCCACAATTCCGTCCTGTCGGCGAAATGATTGTCAATGAAATGAACTTAAACTGGACCTCTTTCTAAATTGTAGTTGTCTCGTAAGATATTATTATTGATGTATTCTCGATCAATTTTATGTATTTGGTTTGATTTTGTTATGTAAGTTTTATGAGAGATAAAAAAGCATACGGCTTTGAACAAACATGGCTCATGAATTAAGTATTTTGTTCACTATCTCTAACCGCAGAATGACAGAGCTTATTATTACAATTATTGTTATCAATGGTTCTGTAAGAATATGGTGCCTGCGGAAATACCTGGAGAATATCACGAAAATTTGGCACTAAAACAACATTCGCTTTCCTATAGCATATGCAGGTCTTCTTCCTTTACAGAGTTGCATGCTGTGCCATTTCAAAAGAGATGTTGAAGATTACTGCTTCTTCTAGCCGTTTGAGTGGCTCAGATTGATCAGCAGCACATTGGATTGTCAGTATACGTAATTCTGTGGCTATTTGGGATTTGCCGGTTCCAAGCACCAGAAACGATCCTTTGTATCCGTGGAGGCCTTTGAAGGAAGCTTTTTACGTCAAATTGCTTTCTTTTAATTTCAATTTTCCCTTAATTCACCATAAGTTGACGTTAATGTTCGTTTATTGCTTTGTATTTTTCGTTCTTCTTGGTAAATTTCATAAGTGATTTTTCTTTATCTAGATATCCCTCGAGAATTTTGGTATCACGCATTTTAAAAACATATGGAACAATTTTTCCGTACGACTATTCGATTATTATTTGCCAAGACTACTACGATAAGTGAACGTCAGAAATATCCTTTCATTAAAAAGATGGAGGGTGTGTCCGCCAGGCATCATAATCAGACCATTGTCGAATCAAGACTTGATGACAAGTTATTAAGAACCGCATAGAACCACCCCTGGGCTCCAACGTTTGCACTGAGATAATATTTCGTATATTTAGGGTTATACAAACATGTTTCGGTAAATTATTAATAGTAACGCGTTGTGTTTTATAAATTGATACCTTTGGAGGAGGAAATTATATATCATACAAGTTCCATAGCTTGCGTACAAATGTCTTTCAGGTTGAATACATGAATGAACTAATTCTTCAATGGTGAGCTTAAAAACTATGGTATAACCTGCTGCAAAAAGGATAACATATCTTGAGTCACATCCTCATTGATCCAGTGACCCAAGTGGGCGTAGCTTTTGAACGTTACGTTGTATCCTTTATCCTTAAGAATCTCGCTTGTCATCTCTCCTACGTTGAACGGGACAGTCTTGTAAATAGACCAATGTTGGTGTCAGTTTGGAAGTATGCTACAAGGAGAATTGATGCGGAATCAAAGCATCGTAGATGGATCGTAACCAACCTCATCTGCATCACCGTGAGCAACGAATATAGGAGTGTTCTTATTTGCATCCGTTGCTATCTTTAGGGGTTTAATGTATTATAAGTAATTTGCCAAATCTGGGGCCATAGAATTTGTCAAAATCCAATACCAACCGATAGAATCTTGTCTTTCGAAGGGAGATATCCGCCCAGTCTATAGATAAGGCAGAGATAACAAGTTAATAGCATACTTTTAATATAGTCAAAAGCATAAATGAAGATTACCCTATTATGCCAGCAAATTTATATTCTGAAATCAAGCTCGTGACCAAAGCTTGAGCACAGCCCTGAGAAAACCCACCAACAACAATACGTTGTGCAGGGATCCCTGAATCAACTTCGTCAAGTATGAGCCTGTTTACTGCATTACGTATTCACATTATTGACCGCTGACATTGGACAGTTTTACGAAAACGACATGGTGCTTACCAGAATTCGCTGTATTTAAAATCCAGGTCTCAGCGTCGTCCGGACTGAGCATCCTTTCTAAATGCCCTGATTGCAGTATATCGAACCTTTTGATAAAATCATTAATATAGAAATCATTAACATGACAGCGAACATAATACGTGAAAATAACAAGTTCATACCAGGCAGGCGTGCGATAACCGTTAAATATAGTAACAGGTCGGACTGGGCTAAAGTATAAGTATACTTGCATTAAAAACTTAACAAGTTGAAAGTTACGAGGCAAATACTAGTAAAGCGATATTTAAAGACTCACGCATTAGGCAGAATGAATTTAACATGTGGCATCGTCTGCCCGATCTGGTCGGCGGTCTGAATCCATCCTTTACCACTATCACCAAGTCCGTCTATTCTAAGACCAACTCGTTAAGAGTGAGCAAAAAGCTAAAAGGCGGCAGGAATTTGTCAATGCTTACGAAGAAATAACACAGTTGCAGTGTGTTGGGGTCCGCGCGCCTGCCGAATAACGCTGGTGAGTTCTAAAGGCTTGGACATTAGACGCCAAAACTATGCAGTGTACATACTATATGGAATTTCCTTGTCCAATAGTAATAGCAACAGCTATTTTAATCTGCTCGACAGATATGATATTTCGTTATGTCTTATAGTAATAGAGGCCTGTTAAATTGAGTCGTCCGGATCAATAAGCATCAAACAGTTACAAAGGGCTTAAGGGATTAACATATGCCCGAAGAGTAAGATCTGATAATCACGGAATATCAATTACGTATTGTTGTAATAGGCATCATTAATAATATGTAAATAAGGAACAAATTAGAAAATGTCTTTACTGTCTGCTTTGTGTGATGATCGGCAAGCCCCAGAATGGGTAAGCGTATATTAATATATGTAGTAGTAATTACAGTTTTTGGCAAAAACATTTCTCTTTTTTGTTTTCACGCCCAAATCCTTCAAGAATAATCAATGCAGAGTATACATTCTATGTGTCCCGCGGTTTCGGATACATTTCTTAATGTGAACTTGGAATTACGTTTATTTTGACGCGAAAAGATGGTAAACCGTTCGATGCCGTAAAACTGATGATCTTCAATTCTGAAACTATTACCTAAATGACCCTCGTTATTACAAAATTCAAATACACGCCCACACACACACAAATATAAATACGCATGGCGTATACGACAAGAATTACAAATAATACATCGCAAACTTGACAGAATCTCTCATATTCACCATGAAAAACGTCGTTTCCATCTTTATTATCTGTTTGGTTTTGAGCCTAGTGCCAGTCCTTGAAGGTAAAGAAACCAGTCTAAAATCAACGTCCCTCCACCTATTTAATTATCGTCCGTACTAAATTCGGTCGTAAACCAAACTCTTCCAATTTCAACCTAACCTTTGACGTTAAAATTTCCTTTCTTTCTGCATCCAGCTTGTTCAATTGGAGAAGGAAAACGTGACTGCCATTCCGGTTTCTCTTGTTCATCTAATTTAGACTGCGTGTTCAAAACTTGCGCGAATTTTGTCTGCGTGCGTAAGCTGGCTAATGGTTGCGTCGTCGGCGGCAAAGCACACAACTGTAAATTAAACGATCCTTGTGCGTCTAGTGATGACTGCACGACTCCTGGTTGTGCAGATGATAATGGGACTGGGCAACCTATTTGTGTTTAGATATAGAACGGTCTTTGTTGTGGGCTAATACTGGAAATGTATATGTAAAATCTTAATCAAACATACGTAACACGCAGAATGAGTGTGTTTATAAGACTTATTCTGACACGAGTTGTCTTCCAAGTATAAACATGTTTGCATATCGACGTGTTGATCACGATATCTTTTGAATATTGGAAGCGAAAATACCGCATGATTATTCCACTCTTTTACTTAACGTATTGTCATGTTGAACAAGTCAGTGTATGTTCGTATTTAAAAAAGACGTTAAATAAATGAAAAAGTATAGCCATGTCCTTTAGACTCTTGCAAGATAACTTTTTTTATCCTCCGGCCCATAAGAACAGTGTTGTTACCATACCGTCGAAGCATAATAAATAATATAGGTTAAAGCAGCACATATATTATATCAGCTAATAAACAATGGACACAAATGGTGGGAAAGGCGTCTACATACAGATCTTCTAGAACCATCATGAGAACAAAAAGAAAGCCGGTGTTGACAGACTGAGACGGTAACATAAACTATGCGGGAATTAACACGAGAATTACAGTATGAAAATTTATTAATCGATATAATCACGCGTCAATTTTTGCAATCAACGTACCACAGCAAACTTTATGATAACGGGATAGAATTGCAAACCTTGTTAAAAGGTCACTAATTTGTCAAAAGTGCATTTAGCAGTAGAGATCGCCAAGCATTCATCCTTGATTATTGACTCGGTCTCTAAACTTTTGAGTAGTTTACTAATTTTGGATATCAGTCATTTGTTTGCAAAGGCCAATAATTTTACCACATTGACTTTTAGGTAAATAATACATTTTTAGGGTTAGGGATATTGGAAAAACACGATATGCAGTCATGTGAAATTAATAAATTTGAGTAAAATGTGCCAACCAATACCTGTCAACCAATAAATTATTAGATATCGATACTTTTGTAGAGCCGCAATTTAATATAGTGAACGTAATTCATGCGTTGGTATGTACAACAGAGAATGCTGATTACATTCGATATTATTCTCGATGCTCCTGAAAGCATATTGCATACTTTTTGGAATACTCTCGAGTTATGGCTGGGCGTAGTAGTAGGGCTAAATCTCTAATCAATCTCTCTATTACTATATCCTAAAGGGGATATACAGTATCAGATAAAACCTAGAAAATGTAAATGAATAACGTACGATGTAACACGAGAAAGTAGGAAGTGAGGCTTTTCGAAATGTATCAAAAATTTTTTACTTCAGAACGATGTCGTTAGATGATGCAGCAATTGACAATTTGATCCAATCAAGTAAACATGAACTTGGGTGGATTCCTTACTCGCAAATTACCGACATAAAGGCAAGTGACAGCGTCTGCTACGCTATTCACAAGCAAACACATTCAGACGAGATAGTGTTGCTATTACTTGGAAGTAGTGAAGAATGTACACCAACACTTGTTAGTGAGTTTGCTAGAATATACTCACTTCCGACACACAAGCACGATAGTAATAGCAACAACTTCAAAAGACATTCCACATGGCTTTACTATCGCAACAAACTCATAAAAGGATTTACCAAGTATAACGATAACTATTACATGGTTGCTAGTAGACGCTTTTACCATTGCTATTCCCGCTATGGATTCTGCACTGTATGTGGGATACTCCGATGTAGTCCCGTGTGGTGCATTTGCGGACATAAAGAATTATCTGATGGATGGACTAGCAACAATAAGCAACTCGATGAGTTTATTAAGAAATCTCAATT